CCCCCCCCCCACAATGGCGCCTGCGCGGGTGAGGGGAGGGGGGGGGGCGAGGCGCGCAGGCGCAGTGAGGACCCGCGGCCCGCCAGGCGGCGGCGGGGGCGGCGCGGGGAGGGGAGGGGGGGGGTTGGGGGAACGGAACGATAAAAAAAAAAAATAACAAAAAAAAAATAACGCGCGGGAATCGGTGAGGGGGAAGCGAGCGCTGACCTCGGCCTTGGCCATGGCGGCGGCGCGGGGCGGGCCGGGCGGTGGCGGCAGCGCGCGATGCTCCCTCTGCGAGGGCCGACACGGAAAGGGGCCGAGCGATGAGAGCGCCGCCGCCTCACCCCGCCGCCCCCGCCGCCCTCACGGCCCCTGCGCCGCCTCCCATTGGTTGACGCCGCCCGGCGCCGCCGTCTCATTGGCGCGCCTGATGAGCTCCGCCCGCTCTGCCGCCGCTGATTGGCTGCCTGCGGGAACGTCCCGCCCCCGCGCCGCGCTGATTCGCTGGAACCGCTGGTGCCACGCCCCGCGCTGCTTTTCCCGCTCCGGCCCGGAGACTCCCCGGTGCGCCGCTGATTGGCTGGCGCGGCGGAGGGCCCGCCCCCCGCTCGGCGCTCATTGGCTGAGCGCGCGGTGGGACGGTCCCCATTGGCGGGCGCGGCCGTCGCTCAGCGCGGGCCGCCGGCGGGCCCAGCGCAGCTCGACGAGCGCGGCGCGGCGGGCGCAGAGCGGGGCGGCGGCGACTCCCGGCGGCGGCGAGGAGGGGCCGCCCGCCCGCCGGCCCCAAGGTGCGCCCCGAGCAGCGCATGCGCCAATCGCGGCGGGCTTTGGGGAGGGGGGAAAGGCGGGCGGACGCATGCGCGGAGCGCGGCCGCCGGCGCCTGCGCGCTGCGTGCGGTTTTGGCGGGCGGAGCGCGGAGCGCCGGCAGCTCGGAGGGGCGGCCAAACCGCGGCGAACGGGCCCGCGCCGGAGCCGCTCTCCGCGCAGGTAGCGCCGGCGGCGGGCGGCGGATGAATGGGCGGCAGCGCGGGGGCGGGTCCGCCGCTGTGACGGGCAGGCGCGCTGGCCAATGGCGGCGGGCGGGGGGCGGGGGC